GAAGAAGAATAACGACTTAATACGTTCACGTGATCAGAGTGTAAACGGTCTTCAATGCAGTCTCTGCCAGCGACATTGAATTAATGGTCGATACGATACCGACTTCCGCCGGAAGTTGTCGTCAACTCGTACCGCCAATGCGAACAAATCGGACACCTAGTGGGTCTGAGCGTGTGCGTGTTTGTATGTCGGAGAACTGGTGCAGACACTTAAAGACCAGCACACGTGCGCCGACACGATCGTTCTTCAATCACTCGACGGCCATGGAAAACATCATCGACGACGGATCAGTGAAACACTAATCACTTCCGTCAGTGCTCTAAAAGGTCAACGAACATCGCCACAATCACCAGCTACTAGTATAGGATGTATCTTGTTGATGTTACTTGTTATGAGATTACTCCTGATCTTGATTGTGGCCCTGAGACGCAGTGGTTAGAGGTGCTGGTCCGCCAGGTCAATGGTTCGATCTTGCACTTATGGCTCACCAAGCCATCTATCCCTCAGGAGTCGGTAAATTGGTACCAGATTGGTCTCAGACTCGTCTGGGAGGATAAGCAGCACTGACTCGGCTCAGCGGGTGGCCACCGCGAGTCATTGTAAAGGCCAGATATGCATACAATCACCTCGAACGAAGTTAAAAATTGAAGACGAATTTTTGACGCATCCCTCAGAGAGTAATCAACGCCGAAAGCTTTAGCTTTTAGAGCTTGATTAGCGTACCTAGTTAATCACGAATACATATGTCAAATTTCTTTAGAAGTGCTATGATGCACATGTGGTCATTAGTTCAACCACATGGCCTACCATACGGAGCTCTTCATTCTTTCCGAGCCGAAAAGTTGCAACTAGGGCCTGTACGGGAAATGAGAACAAGATCAGTACTTCCATAAGTTGTTGTGCGGATTTCACATCTTGACTACCTTCTACATGCTGATTGAAACGAATCGTATGGATTCTCCGCAAGTCACGGATCGACGATGGACGCTTATTCTGTGACATTCACCTGTGCATTCAGTGGACAACACCGCCGCTTAATACTTATCAACGGCGTAATGTTTACTTTTACCATCTAGATGAACATCATGGAAGTACATAGAAACGGAGACCAACGATTAAATATTAATGTCAAAGCAATAGAATTTTGGAGAGCTTGATGGGAAAGAATGAGACAAATGTCCACCAGAATTCAAAAGCTACGCATTTAATAAACCTTGTTCAGGACACTAAATTTTAGAATGCGAAGAACAATGCCGCGTAATAAAATAAAGCAGTCAAGAAACTTTTCTTAGAATATGAAAATCTGAAATGTTCATAGATAGAAAAGAATAAGGCGAACATAACTGGAATTCGCTTGTTTGATTTTTTTGGCCAATTGCAATTCTCTCAAAGTGACCTTGGAGACAATGAAATTGCCGGATACCTAAAAACCTCGACCAGAGTCAGCGCGCACTACTCGGAAGTAGTTTAAAAATGCCCAAACTTCCGCCATGGTAAACTATTCATCAGCTCAGTGTTAGCCTATCAATAAGTGAAATAGTAGAAAATTTTCCACACTCAAGATGGTGTTAAGATTAGAAATGAGGCATGGAGGCGCAGTGTTTTTAGAAAGTGTGACAGAAAATAGATTGAAACAAGTACTGTTGAAATAGCGTTGTCGATTCTCTCCCACATTCATGATATTCCGTATTCAATTCCAAGTTAGAATCAACCGACAAAATAACAATACAAATGCAAAAATAGTCAGGACTTTTTGATCGGGAGGGAACAAATGAAAAACCGATCTCTTCGCTGGAGAGGAAGTTTTTATAGGAGTATCAGTAACTAAAGGAAAGCTGAGATTTAAGGTGACAGTCCCATGTCGCCGATTTTTCGGAACACCCTATACAACGCTGTAGTATCTAGATCAAAAATTATGTTCCACATTCGTCTTTTGCCTTCATTCTATAATGCGTATAATTCGCTGAAAGCCGAAAAGCATATCAATGTGTTGAGGAACTTTCGTAATGTCTTGTACAATCGGTTTCTGTGAAGTTTCTCCAAAGCGGAGGAAAGTTCCCAATTGACTAACAATATATTAACCCTGGTAATCATTTTTTGAGCCACGCACGTCAGTGGTCTGTCAAAGACAGCTGACTTATAGAGCCCGATACACGTGTTTCGAATTTGCGATCTCGTCAGTCGGGCAGTTATCGTCTTTTGCCAAATCTGTGTTCTTAAGAAACCACTCGAAACGAAAGATGTGATATATTGAATATACCAGCCAAGAGCAATCGAGTGTACAACACTCTATGTTCGGTGAGAATTTCACTGGACATACCCCCTGCTACGCTCCTTGCCACGGCTGTCGCCTCGTCGAATAGCTAGTAAATAACCTGCCAAAATGTAAAACTCGATCTTATTCTTCTTCATAAGCCGTATTTCAAGAAAATAAGCACATCGCTAAAACATTACCTTACCTAATGGTTAGAGCAGTAGCTCTGGCCGGTGAGGTTCAAAGCACAAATCAAAAGACCAAAGGAGATCAAAAGATTGAAAAAGTTCTTCAGAAAGCAAACCTTTTTTTAGTTGTTTCAAACTTGTGCTATAGTTTATGCACTAACGCTGTAAGGAATAAGTTTTGTCCAGCGAAATATAAGCGAGATAAGAGAAAAAAAACACGTGGCTTGTATTAAATATGATATTACTTTGAATGTTTACAGCGTTATAAAGGAGTGTTTTGAAAACCGGCGATGTCTGGATGTAGCCAGAAATCTGAGCTTTGCAATGATATGCTGACGTTTTTATGGAAATTTTCTGTCGAGCAAATGAGATCAGTTTTTATTTGCTCCCTTATAATCAGAACGAACCAATAGTGATAAAATTTGACTGAAAGGTATAAAAATATTTGTCAGCAGAATAAATTAACGAAACATATCTACATCAAAATAAAACATTCACGTTAGAGCAGTGCGAGATCCGCGACCACTCCTGTAATAATGTAATAGAAAAATATTATACTAAGAGCAATGACCCAATGAATGAACTAGTAAGGAAACTGGTAAATGCATTATATGGATTATTGGATTGACAAGGAACTTTTCGGATTTCTTTGTTTTTCTTAATTATTTATCATATATTTAATTTTCCATTTTTATTACCGTTCAGAGAAGCTTCTTGCGGTTATTTTGATACAAAACATTTACACATTTGTAGAGATGGAGTTGTCTCGAGAGCTTAACGATTGTTGATGTCACACAAGTGATCGCTGCGTGTCAAAGAAGGAAATACATTAAAAATGATTGACAAAAACCAAAAGTCCGAAAAATTTCTCGAGTATCCAAACCTAATAAGAACATATTTTCAAAGAAGTTCGGAATGGGCGCGGAAACAAAGTTAGTGCTTACATGTAGTAAATAGATCACTCCGATGAAAGGTAAAAAGCTTTCGAGAGAAATGAATTTATGTAGACATGCCAACATTTTAGTCAAAAATTCAATTATCGTTAAAGTTCCTTATTAGAAATCCATCATGACGAACAATGGCGTCATCCGACGGCTCTTCAGCAGCTTCAAGACCTTCACAAAATGAGCTTCGAATCAGTAGTCGATATGTGTACCTTAAAACCATTTTACTTTGAGAGGCGTGGAGCAAATGCCGATTAATTTTCGAAAAGTCCGCCATGTATTCTACTTCATTGAGTTTGATAGATCCTTCAATATATATTTGGCTTATATATAACCTACGAAGATGCAGTTGTTTTAACACTGTGATTTCCATCCTCCCAGAATTTAGTACTAATTTATCGAGCGAGGACATGTTAGGGCTTCGTTTCCAAGAGTACGGAATCATATCAACCATTACATCTGTGTTCCACGGTTTCTCTAACTAAAGCGAAAATCGGTCCTCATAGCAGCCGTTGTAGATATATAAATCCGATTAGAAATCCAACATCGTCTCTAGTCCTGCCCAACGATTAATCGCAAAAATCGTCATTGCTACATAAAACTTTATCTCCCTGAAAGAATCGTAGTCACAAGGCGAACAAAGCTCCTCTTTTCTAACTGCAGTGAATTGTCAAGGAAATAAGTGAGGACATTGAGACACTCCATAAGACTTTCTTCCAACCCTCGAAACAACATCTTACCTCGGCTATCTCCAAAATGACAAGGAAATCAGACTCAACCTGCTGTTCTATAACATTCGTGAAGGGAGGAAATGCTGAGGCGTTGGCCAAAGAACACACAAAATATGCGATAACTTATGGGACGATAATTGTAAGGAAACAATCGAATAATAGAAATGTTGGGAACCGCACAGCAGATGTGATGACGAGTTATGTAAAATAAATAATTATGCAATCGATATTGTGTTCCTGTAAACCTATTAACATCGCAATAGCATCGATTCAATGCGATAAATATTTCCTGAATTTTTTCATTGAACATCAACACATATTTTACCAGATTGAATTCTGAGTATGGATTAGAATCATTTGTCTTGCAAGCGAAGATATTATTATATCCACACTTAATTGTAAACATAGTTGTCAAGATTCTGAAGGCTTGTGGTATTTAAATATACTTCAGTAATAACTTATTTTGATAGGATTAGGCCTTATATTAGCGGAATTCTCAGAAAGTTCATTTGTTTGTGAGATTGATGGTCACATTTTATTTCAAATACTTAGAGGTGCTCACTATTTCAAGACAAACACGGTGATAATCCAAACATTGTGTTGTTGAGCGAATGAATGAATATTCGCGGAGTGTTAAGAACATTATAATATGAGTTTAAAACGAGATAACATAGGTTAAGTAAAAATAAATGAATAATGAGTTGAAATGAAAATAAATGAGTAATGAAATGAAATTAAGTATTTCAAATCACAATCAGTCTGTCCGTGGCTGTCGGCTTAACTGAGTTTATGAAGCAAAGTCGCATACCCGACCAAACCTGTTAAAGGTTGGTGGCTGGCAGCTAACATAGAGATGTTGAAGAGTGAGTGGTGCTGCAAATGTACCTTGGTGGTGTAGTGGTAGCATACAACCCCGGTATGTATGAATGCGGGTTCGACTCCCGTCTGAGGGCGCATTTTTGCTCACAACTCAATTCTCTTAGGTATGTATGAAACATCATAACACCTCGAAAAATGACAATGTGGCATCATCGTCGAAGTAAGGTGACATGGGCGTTGCTTATGCAGAGCATCTTGTTGACGTGAAACATCAAGTGCAATACTTTTGAGCGCCCACGATCGAGATGGAAAATCTATGTCAAATCTTCTACAATAATTTGGATGCTCTCTATGCGAACGTACAATGCTGATAAGCTCTCGTGGAGACGATAATTTCTTCTAGTCATGTAAGAATTCCGTGTTCTTTTCTTCTAACGCATTCTTTTCTACTTCTCTTATACGAATATATTCACCTTTTTGTTAGTTTCTGAATTCTTGGGCATTGTTCTTTCCGTTCTGTAAATTGATAATTATTTCAACGTCCTAAATTCATCGCTATAATCTACGAAAGTAGGCGCCGAACATTTAAAAAATGAAGAACTACTACCTATCTTTATTCCTCAGTAATTAGGTTATAAGTTGAAAAAGTTTCTTGTTTCGCAAGCATTTGTGCTGGAATAAGTTAGTTTCAGTGCTTAGTAGTGGTTAAATAACTACTCAAATTAAACTATATATTCAATTGAGAAATCCAGTAATATAATTGATAAAAGTTCAGGTGTTTTCCCGTTATCTGCTCTCCATTTCGATCCCTCTTAAAAACGTATTTCTTGGGTCATTTTCAGTGTTCAAATAATTGTTCGATAGCACAAATCAAAAGAATTTGGAGAGCAGCAAACGCAGTGGAGAAGCCATGCAACGATATGAACATGGACAATGATTCGCCAGTTTCAGACCAACCCAACTTCGAATATGCAAAGACTTTTGCAGATCAGAGACGCGAGATCTCTAGCAGAACCGAACTCGAAACCGAAAGAACCGTTAAATTTTACATATCACAATGATAAATCGTAATAAATCGACGGAGTCCCCTAAGTGATTTGACAGGTAAAATATATATTCAATCAAATCTACAATGCTTAACGGAAATGGCTGTAAAACGCACTTATCGGAAATTAGGATATTGAAGATTGCAAAAATCATCGTCGACCAGCATTCTACGGAATTCATTAGGAAGACGAGGTCCTCAAACAACAGCTGAAGCAACACTTGAAGTATTTGAAGATCTTTGTGGAGGATGAATGCGAGGAAACTAATAAAATGGAAGATTTGCTGGAATTTACACAATAAAATGTGACGACGGGCTGCGTAGAAAATTTGCTGAGAAAAATTCAGCAGAGTTTTATCTGCTAGTACATATCTGCTCAGTGTAGTATTGTCATAAATTTTCAATTAGAAAATAGGTTTGACTGGCGTTTTGACAAAACTTTATAATATGAACAACTAAGAATTTTACATGTATGATTGCACTGACTCAGGATTCTAATCAGAACTGCTCGGATTACAATGAAAAATTGGTCTAGTTAGCGTGACTGCTTGATGCCTCCTGTGGTGGTAGTCACTTCATCATCGTGCTCCTTGAAACGTAGTCTTTGCCTTTCCCATTAAGCACCCGCTTCCGTCAATGATTTACATTAATGGCTGCAATATGGAGTTAGAAGTAGGATTTGACCCATAAATGATACTCTATAAATGAGCTTTAGACGACTACTTGATGACTTGTATTTGAGTATAAAGATGACGATAAGTCGTTTGTTGATCAAAAAAAGCAGCCAGGGAAAGCATCAAAGAAAACAAGCACTAGTACATTTGTACCCGCAAACAGCATAGTTTAGATAACCCCATCACAACTGTGTTGCAAGGGAACATGAATACCCACTACAACAATTTATACCACAAACTTTACTACACGACTTGAAATCATGGACCCCACTGTGCGACGGCTCTTCTCGCATGCAATTAGTTATATCACTTTCATTTCCCATAATGGTTTTAAAAGTTTTTCGTCTTAGCTTTTCAGCTTTGGTTGGGAATTTTTGGAGTTCATCAGGAATTTCGTCCAATACTCGTGCTGGAACGTCACCATGAAGATTTAGAGAATTGAACTTGTTCCATATAATCCTGGTACCACTTTCCTGACTTGCAGAGCAGTGAAAGGCTTAATGGACCCGAAGCAGAATGTACCCGGCATCTGAATGAGTTGGACAGCCCTCATGATGATGAATCACTTCCACCGCCTTTATCTTCTCAAAGATAACAAGTCAACTTACACAATGAAAATGTTTGCCGACAGTAGTATTGTTAAATCACTATTTTATTCGAACTCAGTCAACGTGCTATTCATGGAGAATGTCGCACAAGAGAAAAGAGCTAGTGAAGTGGTGCGCAAGATTAATAATAAGTTGCGTACCAAAATGTTTACAAAAAATGCGAGATTGATCAATGTTGTTGTCATCATAGAATTTATTGTAAAAATCATATAATCTAATAAGTATACATGAGCTGTTAGAACTAGTGGACAGGCCACCTGTTTCGTCCTATTGGGGCTCATCAATACCACCCTCCCTCTATTCAGCCGATCGCTTGAAGTTTTATCATATTATAAATTATATTAAAACACTAAAACGGCACGAATCTGTTTTGATTATCGACTTTCAAATGTGCTCGGATTATACATCGTAAAAATCAACTCATCGCAGTATTTGAGTTGTTTAATGGGAATGAGAGCGGTTGAAATCGTTGAAATTGGCTGCTTTCAAAGCAGCAAGTGTCTGCAGAGCCGTGGAAAACATTTCAAAAAATTGAAGGAATATAAAACCATCCTCGAGGAGGTCATCCAACCACTTTGACTACTCTGAAAACAATCAGAAGATTCGTTGCCAAGTTCAATAAATTACATACCGTCAAAATGGCTTGGAAAGCCTGGGATCAGCGATCGAAGCATTTGAAACATTGTAAAAAATAAATTGAAGTTACGCAGCTACGATATCGCTCATGTTCACTTCCTGAACATGAGGATGAAAGAAGTACGGCTTTCAAAGGCTCGCCGAATGATTCGTTCAATCGCTAGTGCTCGTTTGCCAGAGGTGGTTTCATCAATGAGAAAAAAAAATCACGGTGATACCACCCCACAATCGTGGGGATCGATGTCAACTTTACGAGAAGGGTCACCAAAAGTTTTCAGGCCGCTTTGATGGTTTGAGCCGACATTTGAGCCACCGAAAAGACGCCATGGGTCTTCATCAACGGAAACGTCAAAACCAACGCTGCCAGTTATCACCAGCAAGTTTCACGAGGCTTACGACGACTTAACCCTTCACCAGCAGTGGACTCTCGCGCATTTAGCCCATTCAACGACTGCCATCTGTCAAGAGCCACTTCCAGGTTTACGAACAAGGAAATTTGGCCGTCAAACTCGCTGGATGTCAACCTAATGAATTACTCCGTGTGGTAGTGCTGAAGAAAAAAATCTCGGCTGCTCGCTCTACTATCATAGACGCGCCTAAAACGCCTTTGACAAGAGCTTAGAACGAAATTACGGTGGAAACGTGTGCGAGAATTATTGGAAATTGTCGCCAGCCACTTCGTAAATGTATAAAAGCCAAAGTGAATATTTTTTAGAGTTTAATATGGACTGTTTTGCTAAATTTTATAGGTACTTCATATATATATATATATATATATATATATATATATATATATATATATATATATATACTTAATTAATCCTTTAATTAAATGAATCCATTTGCTTACGCAGTACTTTTTTTACTGTTGAAATATTTGAAAAAATCGACAGGACTTTTTACGCTCGCTGCATGAACTAAAGACATGACCCAACAAGTGCGATGAAGTTCCTGAATTTTCAAGTGTTAACATTTGCCAAGTCTTGAGAGCATCTCAGCAACGTTAGCCGTTCAAATCATAATCACGAGATTGTTTTTGCAGAAAAGCGAAAAACAGATATCTAAGTGAGAATAGCCGTCAATAAAAGTGCCTGGACAGATGAAAAAAACTTCAATTACCCTGAGAAAATTGCCACGCTTGTTTCGTCTCATAATTCCATGGCAACGAAACCTGCCCACGATAAAACCACCCCTGGCATAAGTATTCTGTATCCTTTTCATTCTGAACTTTGAGCAGTTAATGTATGCTGGACGACCGAATTTAACTACAAAGTATCCTGTTAATCACCAAACTCGGAAGAAATAATCGTTCTGATTGAGCGTCAGAGCTGTTCACTTTAATACGCTTAAGCGATGAAATGAACACTATCACGGCTTTGACTTTATGCCTTCTTTGTTGCTTTTACTGACATACGTTGAATGTTCAGGGTATAAAAATGTCAAGGTTGGGATTCCAGGTTTGACATGAAAACCTTGAATGAGCAACTTATGCTGATCGCGAAGCGATAAAACGAGTCTTCACTATGAAAAGCAGAACTTCAGGAAATCTATCTATTTACACACGGAAGGAATCTGGAAAATCAAGACATCTTTATGCATCTGCGTTAATCACGAGGTAAAAACGCTTATACTTTGTTCTTTCCTGACACTTAGGGCAGAAGTATTTTGTGAATTGTAATTCCAATAAGACGATTATTTGAGTGGGCTCCTGGACCACATTCGTGGCAAAACGGAGTTAAGTGGATTGATGAGCGATATAATGAAAGATAACTGAGTGAGAAATATGAAACACGGCCTACAAGAATACTGAGATAAAACCAAAACAACTTGAGGTATTGAGGCCGTTCTAAAATACATGTTCATTGTGGGTAAGGTTCCTTAAACTGGGAAAGGAGTAGCGAAGTGGCTAGTGATGCAATCCATCAAGAAGCAAGGTACTGGTTTATTTCTCTCCAGCGATTTTCTGCAATCCACGTAAAGACGTTCTAGCTCGGCTATCTCCAAGACTACAAGATTTGAGTTGGCCAACATTTTACAACACCTATTAAGATGGTGAAATCCTCGAACAATAGTCGAAAGAGTACGCGAAATGTTCAAGAGCCACTGCAGATAATGGAAACGTGGAAGCCAATCGAGTGCACGAATTACCGTGATCAGCAGAGTAGATGTGAT